GAAACGGGTCTGCCGATCGGCACTGTGGCCGCCCAGCGCAAGTCGCTGGAGAACAAGAACCTCGATCTGAGCAAGCTGCCCGGTGGCGCTGGCAAGCAGCAGGGCAGCCAGATCATAACAACAACAACAGCAACCACTAGCAACAGCAGCAGCAACACTTCAGCCTCGGCGTATGCGGAACTGCGCAAGAGTCTGGACAATATGGATGAGAAAATAAAGTCGCCAGCGCCGCCGGCGGTGGGCAAAAAGCCAAGTGTGCCGCTTAAGAAGACGCCCACGGGTGGAGTCACAGGTAAGTTGGCAAAATTCAATTGAATTGGAATTACTCAAAGAGCAAGCGCTGCAGTCAAAGGCAGTTAAAGTAGTAAGTGGAAGGCTTACCTTGTGAGTTCCCAATAAAAATGCTAGAGTTTCAGTTATGTATGTGTCGGTGTTTTGGCTTAAAGGCCATAAAAAAGTGAGTGCTGCAGAATTGAGACTTGTGCACTGAGAATGTGGAGGAGCCGTAGAGGGAGTAGCCATTACAGCTCAGAAAGTTTACGATTTGTTAAGAGTTAGAAACCCACTTTAAGCAGTGGTAGTAGAAGTAGTTCGGGTGCAATGAAACTGGAGGAATACTTTGGGGAAACTAAAAAGAGTAATAGATGAAACTATTTAGTAAAAAAAAGGTAGTTGATTGGAAAAGTAGTAGCAATAAAAAAATATATAGGAATATCAATCAATTAATCCTAAATGAATAATTTTATAAAAATTACTATTCGCAATAAGGAAAGAAGAAGAAAAATGGGGCAAATGTTGTATAAATGTTGTACTAAATATGAAGAATGAAAAATATGACCAAAAACCACAATATAATTTAAAATGTTATGAATATACATAGATAGCAGAAGTAATGAGTGTAGTTAATGTTTAATATTCATAAAAAATATAATAAATCAGTTATAGGTGAATTAGATACGGCAAAGCAACTCTTTGAGCTAGTAAAGAAGCAGTAGAATCACGGATGAAGTCGATAATTAGTAGAGGTAATAGATAACGTTGAAAAAAAAAAGAAAGACAATTATGGAGAATGAACGCAAATGGAAAAAGAAGCATAAAGAGAATTAAAAGAGTGAATGGAAATAAAAGATGTGGCAAAAGATAAACTGAACTGACGATTTATATAACTGATGCAGAAATATATGGTTTCAGTGGTACTATAGCAGTTCACAAGAGCTTAAGTGTAAACACGACCTTAAAATTGGCAAACTCTTTGAGTGATTTCATTCAGATTTCAAGTTCAATAAATAATCGCTTCTCCCTCTTGCTTTTGCAGGCGGCATTCTGGCCGGCGGCATGAAGAAGAAGAGTGCTGAAAGTAAATTAACCAGTGCCGTATCGCACGACGTCTCCGATGGATTGACTGGCAGTAAACTCTTAGGCGGACAGCTGCCCGAAGCGGGCGCAGCTGGCAGTGTGGTTATGAGACGTGCTGCTACCATAGCCGTTGAGGATACGGACTTTGATCGTGTGGAACGCGGCTCAATATTGCAGGACATGCGCGCGGGTCGCGTCAAGGCGCCCAAACGTCGACCGCCCTCGGCGGCCATCAATGTGGTGGGTGAGAGCAACAACAATACGGTGTATGTCAACGGCAGCGGCATGGCCAGCAGCGCCAGCGAGCTAAGTGAAGATGGCGGCGCCGGTGGGGTTGGTGGCAAGCAGGCGACAGGCTCCTCGGATGACAATTCGATGGGCGAGGAGCCGCAGCTGGCCAAGCCCAAGCCACGCGAATGGGAAAAGAAAAAGGCACCCTGGATGGAGGAGCTGAAAGCATCGCAGGTGACTCGCAAAAAGACCTCGCCCAACGTTGAGCCCCGTGGCGGCCCAGTTTCCGTTGCTGAGCGCACCTCAAAGCTGTTCGCAAGTGAGCAAGCGACAGTCGTTACCAGCAGCAGCAGCAGCAGCAGCAATACGACTGCAACGAAAGTGCAATCGAGTGCGGTGACCTCCTCTAGCATCATGCAGCAGTCCATGATCGTGGAGAGCAGCACCAGTAGCAGCAGCAGCAGCCAAAAGCTGGAGTCAGCAACCACAAATATTATAAACAGTAGCAGTAGCAGCAACAACGGCCACGACGCCATCATGTCCAAGAGCATGTCTGCAGCAAAGGCGACGGCGACAACTGCAGCAGTAGCAGCACCGGCAGCAGCACCAGTTGCCGCACCCACTGCCATGAGCAGCGATGAGGAGTCACGCGCGGCACGCCCCAAGAGCTTGTCGATACGTAATCGCAGCGTGTCGCCTCTGGTGAAGACGAGCAACAATGCCAGCAGCACGCAGCAGGCGGAGAGGAGCACCAGCAACAATGTCAGCGTGAACGACAGTCCGGCGACAGCGTTGCTCAACAACCATCAGAGCAACGCCGATACCCTGCCACGAGTGCAAGAGCTCGAGTGCCGATTGGATAAGCTGGAGACGACAGTGTTGACGCAACAGCGCACCATCGAGGAGCTGATCCGGACGCTGCGCGAGGAGACGGAGCGCGTGCGGGTGCTGCGTGGCGAACTGGACAAATACGCGCAGTGCGTGACGCAAGTTTGAAGCAGCTTGGAGTTCCAATCACTCGGAACTCAGCCAAGTTCTGCCCATAGTCGTGCTTGCACCCAGATTGTTGTTTTTTGTTGGCCCGCTTAGCTGTGTGCGTTTGCTTTAGAGATTTCTGTAGTTAAAATCCATTTTAGCTAGCCTTAATCTATGTGGTTTTCTTAAATAGAAGCGAAAGTCGTGAAATGAAGCTGTCAATAGAACTTATTCTTTATTTGTACATTCCAATGCTTGTCAAACCGTGGGGCAAACCGTATCGAAGACAATCCCAATATTGTAGAGCGTATACGAAAATCAAAACTGAACTTGTACTTATCAACCGAAATATCAAATTTCAATGTTAAATCCCAGCTAGTTCACAGCGAGCTGCCTTTTATCCATATATCCAGTAGATAACACTATAAATATATATAAACTATATAATTCTATGATTATGTTCATTTTTGATCATTTTGCCATTTTTTGTTTAAACTCAAAAATTTGGTATAAATTTGCATGCTGCATAAATGTTTCAGTTCCAATACGAAGTACATATATACGTATATAACTGTATATCTATATATATATTTTTGATAAGCATTTTTTACAATTTTCTGAAAACATTGTGGGCATTGTGTGATCTTTTTTAAATGAGCTGCGCTGTAGCATAAGCATAAATCCCAATTACAGTTTGTTTTGTTCATATGATTATGATTATTTTTATGATGTATTAAAGTTATGAAACATGTACTATAAATATTAAAGCGAAGATATACAACACATATAAATAAATAATAAATGTTCGATGAAGATGCCTAATGATTAAGTAATCCAAATAAATAATTAAATTGAAACGTTTGAATGTCTCTTTTGGTTTTTATTCTTTCTTTCATTCTTAACTCATCTGATTATCAACTCGTCAATTATCAATTCATATCATTAAGAAATCATTCCAATTAAAACTTAGAAAATATGCGTGTAGTTGCACTTTAGCTTAGCTTACCGTAACAGTTTAATCACTCTAATCAATGGCTCAATATATAAATAATTTGTTTCTTTTTATTAAACAGACAACAAACGCGTCGCGGGAAATTTGATAATTGGATGTTCTGAAGCCACAAATTCAGCATTTGTCATTTTGTTTAATGAATGTACAGCAATTCCTTTTGTTTTTGTGATAAGCTAAACTTATATTTAAATATTGTGCATTTGGAACGTTAAATCATTAAATACAAACAATATATGGCTAGCTAGGCAATAAGATTAAACGTGTACGAATCTCGCACTCCAATTATTATTAGCAAAATGTTGCAAATTTATTTTGATAATATGATATTTAATATTGCTTGTAAATACTGTAAATTGATATATGGCTTGATAATAAACATTTACCATAAACTTATCAACTATTTCCGCTTTCATATTTCCATTATGATGGCTAAAAATGATATGTAATTTTGCAATTTGTATTTCCGTTAGTGTGGTGGCGGTCGATACAATAAAATTGGGCGTTCGCAGCTAACTTAACGCAACTCAAACTTGCGCTTGCAGCCAACTTCATGTAATGCCCATGCCACTTAACAGAGATATGTTAAACGAGTTAACAGCTAAGCCGTGTGGTAAGCTTCAAAAAGCTTTCATGCAGTTGAATTGAGAACACGAGTATTGCGTTTCTGCTGCTGACCGTTGGTCGAGCATAAAGCTTACCCGAAGCCGACTCTTTGTCTGTGGAACGAAGTGTCCGTTCTTTTCTGAGCCGAAACTTTTGGGCTGCTTTGATGTTGATCCGTAAAAGCTGTTGTCACTGTGATTGTTGCTGGGCTTCTGCTACGCTAGCAAATCAAAGCTAATCAACACATTGCACAGTGGTCTATTACTTACATACATATTTTGATGTTACAGATATTTTGGTTCACTTGCAGTGGTATTGGTATCGGTATTGGTAAATAAATAACAAAAAACATGTTGAATTAGCATAATTTAATTTTAAGCAAAAGCTCGTTTGATAGAAGTTTTGCAACTCTAGTTTAATGTAACTCAAGAGGTCTGCGATTAGAGAAAAGGACATTAAAAAATTTTTAAAGGCAGGATAACATGTTGGGTAATTTATATTAATATTAACATTGTCTAACTGAAATGATCTGCACACTGTGCGACGACTGCCTGTGAATGGCTGTGTGTGATTGCATGTGCGTCTGTATGTGTTTGTACTTGTGCTTTTGCCTTTCTTGTGCGCTGCTGCCGTTATTGCTGTTGTTGTTGTATTTGCCTTGGCACTTGGCGGCGACTGCGACTGGCTCTGCCTCAGTTTCTGCTGGCTGGCTCACTCCGTCTCTGCTGGCACGGCTCGGCTCGGCTCGACTCGGCTCTGCCTCTGTCTCTGGTGTACTCTGAGCTTTTGGCAGCCTTCTTGGGCGCTAGTCAGCAGCGAGCACTTATCAGTTTTCTGATCGCTGTGGGAATTCAGTTAATTGTGGACGCTGTAGCAAAACGGACGCACGGCACAACCTGCATCAAAAATAAACATTTCAAAGTCGAACGCGAACTCGAACTCGATTCTCGAACATTATTTGCTGTTGCCGCCGCTGCGTTTGTCGCGTGAAAGTCATTTGCCACCAGGCACTGCCGCCTGCCTCCAGCCCCACTGGCCCTAAGACAACCACTTAGAAGCTAGAAGTTTCCCCCAGAGTCTCTGTTAGCCCAAGCACAGCTGAAAACATATTTAAGGACCGTACTAAAAACTCATCGAGAAATATTTCGTATACGCAACGTTCTCCGACAGTGCAATCCAATTTCGACAAAGTCAGTTAAATATAACGTTTTCAGGGTGTGTGAGTGCGGCTAAGATAATCGTCCATTATTATATAAATATAAATAACAACGAACCGTAAAAACTGGTAAAAAAAAAAACGAAAACAAACAAAAATTAATTCCAAAATTAAAACGAACAGCCATAAACAAATCGTCATAAAAATAAAAAATCGTACACATATAGCGCGCGCCAATATTGCTCCAATTCAAAACGGCTTAGCAACAAATGCACTGAGCACCAACAACAGCAACAACAACACGGCTTGCCATATAGAAAGCCCAACAATCAAATACAAATAATCAACTTCAATAGCAGCGACAACAACAACAGCTACAACACGGGATTAAAAATCCAGCTACAACCACTGAGAAAACAAACAAACAACAACAACAAGAACCACAACAAATGTGGTGGGTGCATTGGTAAGCTCAGCGGGTAAAAAAAGTAACGGTTAATACATACAAAAAAATCGTTGAAATTGGCCAAAATGTTTGTTGTTTTTATTTTTTGTTGCTTTTAATTTTTTTTATGCGCAAACGCGTTTCTTATGCTTAGCATTTTTTGCTTCAGTTGTTGTTGTTGTTTATTGTTGCTGCTTGTACTCCAAGTAACTTTTTTTTGCTAAGTTTTAATTTTTGCTGCCTTGCTCAACGTTTGGTTTTTTTACTGCTGCTCTCGTACATTTTGACGGCTATAAAGTGGATTTGTCTTCAATTGTGTTTAGAAATCTGCACGGCCCAAAGCCAAAGCCTAAGCCAAAGCCAAAACTGAAGCTGAGACTGGGGTGAAAAAAAAGACTGCAGCGATTGCTCTGAAAATATGTCGGCCAAAAAAGTTGCAGAAAAAAAGGTATTCGAAAAAAGCAAAAACAAAATAAATAGCCACTGATTTGCGTCAAGGTCAGCGATGAAAGTGTGTGTGCCTGTGTGTGTGTGTGTGTGTGCCTGTGTGTGTGTGTGTGTGAATCCATGTGTATTGCTATTGCTACTACTGCTGTGCTTTACAGTTACCCTTTGTGGCATGCATTAGCCATCAAAATCGATTGAAAAACCTTTTGTCTCCCGTTTTGATTGACGGGCGTGTAGATCAATTTTGATTGAGCAGATGCTTATCTCACAGTTTCCCATCGATTGCCGCAATGTCCGTCGCCTGTTTTTTGAGTGTAATTTCCCCCACCCGCCACACCCCCCACTGATGGACAAATGAGCTGTTACGCAGGGCTTGTCAAATCGGGCGACGTGCAACTATAATTTAGTTTAATTTTGGCCCAGCTGCCAGGCTGTGCAGCTTGTTGTTATTGTGACGCCCCAATCTATTACCGACTTGTTTGTCATAATTAACGGCTTAATGTAATCGAGTATTGCGTCTGAGACTGTGCTGGTGCTCAAGGGACGGCCATTTGGGAAATCAATTTGTATTTTTTCTGCCGCTTGTAGGGGCTTCCACAAATTTTCATAATGTTGGCATATTACCCATTGAATAATGTTTAGCTTGAGAAAAAACTGAACTGAATTGAAATCTCCCAATTTATATAAGCTTATATACTTTATTTCTTAATTTAGAATTGTGTATATAGTAATTTCGATTCGATTTAAAAATAAAATATTCTTGGTCATACTTCAAGCTTGGAGTTCTATACAGCTAAATCAATCAGTCATTCATTCTAAATATATTCACTCATAGCTTAAAGGCATTTCAACTCAAATTACTTTGCACTTTCTTATTTGGCCAACAGCCCAATCGAATGACTGACAACAAACAATTAAACAAACTCATAAACAATTTGTGTAATTCATTCGCTGCACATTCTATGCCAAATTGCAAAACGTCAGCAGCCCCATTGCCAAACTTAACTCGTTCAACTATTTTAATACAAATTATTATTAAAAGCTTAATTGCACACTTCGTAATAGCAACAAAGATAGAAGCAGCAGCAGCAGCAGCAGCAGCAGCAGTAGTAGCAGTAGTAGCACCAACTGAGCTTTGGCCAAAACAATTAACGCCACTAAGCAAAATTAACAAATTGTCTGCAATGGCTGCCAACAGCAGCAAATTATAAATATATAGTCGTATGGTGTATATATAGACACATATATAAGAAAATAAACCTGTTGCACTATTTGTATTTTGTTTGGTCTGAGCCGCGATTACACGTATATGACAGTAATTATGATGATAAAACAGCTGGGTATATTTGCTTAAGCAGAGACTGCTAGTTCAAGAGATTCCCTGTATGAAACGATATATAAAGACAGACGGAGGAGATCAGATATGAGAGAAGAGAATTGACTACGGTATAGATTGACATAGAATAAGATATATACATATATTTATTTATACATTATATTCATGAATAAATAAATATATATAATATATAATGTACAGTCGAGTCTCGATAATTCGTACCTCTCAAAATAAAAAATTACGTTAAAGAAATTTCTTCTCAATAAATCTTGATAATTTTAATTTTTGTATAAATCGAAAGAAAATTAATCGCCTTGCCATTTCGAATTATCGGGACTCCACTGTACATATATCAAATGCAGATATTCATATAAGATCTTTAGCATTAATAATATTGAATTTGAAGTCATATCAAAAGATAAAACAGGCTTGTCTCTGCTGCTCTATTCTATATAGCCCATTAGGCGCACATGTTTTTTTATTTTTATTTTTTTTTAAATACCTACAGGGTATATAACAAGTGCAATAAACTTTTAAGAAATTCCATGGAAATATAAACGACTTTATGGTCGCGGCCATTATTTGGTTAAGTTTGCTTTACTTTTGCTCTGCAATCATTTTGGCAGTCAACCTGACAGAAATTTAAAAGAAAACGAGGAACAAGAAGAAGAGGAATAAATATATAGCACATACGCCGTGTGGCCTCTCCCATGGCATGGCTTGGCTTGGCTTGTGCTGGCCTGACTTGGCTTTGAGCCTGTCCGTCCCTCAACTCGCAGTGCGCTGCGTCAATTTTCAATGAATTGCAATCGGCATTTGTTTTGCTGCCGCGTCGCGTGTGCTTTCAGTCCGCCTTTGTTGCGAGTTGCGAGAATGTTTGACAATTTGTCACATAGTCGAACACTTGATTCCACTTGCGACCCATTTGTTACACACTTTATGTTGTGATTGCGACTTCCATTCGTTTCGATTCGATACAATTCGATTTCATTGTGCTGTCCCCTGTCGTACTTAGTAGCAATTTATTTGCCTTTGCTTGTGTCTTTGCCTTTGCTGTGCTCACTTCTGGTTTTAAATCAAGTTTATTAACCGGAATTGCCAGCATTCTATTGTGGCCCGCTTCATTTGCCATTGCTTTTCTGGGCGTATCTATGGCAATCGATTAGCATTCTAATTTATATACTAACTACACCAATATTGCACAGATTTGACGCCAATGGGCATACACGACGATATCAAACGGGCCAAGTGCAAGAGCAAGAGCAAGAGCAAGAGCAAGAGCAAGAGCAAGAGCAATACCCAGTCCCATTGCCAATTGGCATACACATATAGTTTCTTGATTCGCTGTCAATAAAACAAATATTATTAATAATTGCAACTAAATTGTGTTAGCGCACTTTATCGATACTCCACACCCACAACATTCCCATGCCACGTTGGCTTACCGTTCTTTCATTGCCTGAACTCATTGCAAATGCATGAAAAATTATTTTGCTGGCAAAGGGTTTGTACATATGTAAATAATTCACATTTAATATCTGAATATTCAGAATTAATATCGAGAATAAAATAAAACATATATTAACAAAGTGAGAGAGTTTATAAATATGTTTTTAATATATTCCTATAATCGATATGTAATTTATATGCAGAATCAATAGAAATCACGTTTTAAAGATAATAAAAATTAGTTAGTCTAAGATCACTTCAGCAGAATGCCAAAAATTGCGACTATATGAAAGATATCAAAGCTCTAAAATACAAAATAAAATTTTACTAAAAATTCTGAATAAAATATCTATTTTGAAGTTCAATTTTATTGATAATCAAAGAAGTAGGCATTCAAAATATTTACGAAATTTTAGGGAATCATGAATTAAAGGCAAAACTAAAGCTTAGCTCTTATAATACTTCATTATGTATCATAATATAAAGAAAGAAAACAAAGCTGATCCAGAAGAGTTCAAATTAAACAGCATGCGGCATACTTGCTGGTGTGTGTGTGTTTGAGGGTGTGTATGTGTTTGTCTATGCTTTTGAATGCGAAAGCAGCGAAAAAAGTTTATTGAACCTTTGTCTGAATATATTCTACGCCCCTCTACCTGCTCTACATACCACCAAGGCAACATTTGAATATATTTTTTTTAAATCAGAGTAATAATAGTCCATTTACAGATATAGTAAGCCCGTTAGGTCCTCATCACTTTTATTGCATTTTTTTATAGTATTATTAATCACGTTTTGTGCCTGAAGTGAAGTCATGCATGAACTCAGTGTTTATGTCAACTAAATAACTTCAAACTTAACTAATACTAATCAATAATTATTACTTATATAATGACAATCTCAGCAGTTTTTGGCGAGCTTAGATGATTTCTATAGACACACACACACACACACACACATAATATATTTGTCTAAAGTTCAAACAAGTTATTGTCGGGCAAATATTGCATACACTTTGTTGTTTTGGCCTTAAGGCTAGCCAGTTTACAGCTGATGCCGTCCGATCTGTAGCTGGCTACATTTCTGGGTCTGATATGGGTGCAGCTTCAAACCGAACTGTCCAGTTTAGTAAGTGAATATGTGCACTGAGGTCGGAGAGTGCAGCGGATGGCGCCCGGTCGCTAGATAACAACGACCTTAACGTGCTTTTGATTAGTACTTTTACTTTCCGCTCTGGACTCAGAGTTACAGTTACACAGACACACACACACGCCCAACAACGCAAAATAGCTTAAAAAAACTGGCTGCCTGTCAAGCTGTCAAAGATAACGAAGCTGCGAAGAAATGCGTCACAAGTGGCCAGACGAGTAGCGAAGAATGAGAATCGAATACAAGAAGCGAAAGAGAGGAGTGTATATAAAAAAGAAGCTATTTCCATAAGTAACAGTTGGCTGTTGTCTAATTAATTAGCCAAGCTTAGACATTTTTTTTGGCTCTTTGGTTGGCCAAGAAACTTTCGTTTTTAATGAGCTGAATTCCGGCCATAAAGATTTTGTTTTGCTGCGCACAGACACGCACTCAAAGACTGACTCGAATTCCTGGATAATTAAAAGCCATTGAACGCTCGGCGGCCCAAAGCTCTGACTATGAGTAATTATATGGTCTGTGAAGAAGTCTTGATAAGAATTAGAACTGGTTTTATGAACTGGCTAGGCTACTGTTACCTATGGATTTTCGGCCAAATAACTATTTTTAGTTTATTATTATTATTATTAAGTTGTTGTTGACTTGGCTTAATTACAGACTTGGCTTAGCGGAAATGCCTGCTAATTGCTTTGTGGGGCTTTAATGAAATTAAGCTATGACTATTAAAGCATGCATAAAGGGCGCCAATTGGCAATAAAAATCAGCTAAAGGCTAATGTGCGCCAATGGCAATAGATTTGGCCAACATACAATGCAATGCACGAGCCCAGACGAGCCGAGCCAAGTCAAGTGAAGCCAGTCTCAATGATATGCCAATTGTTGTGTGGCTATCAAAATATTTGTCATTAATTATAAATATGTTGAAATCGCTAAGAAACAGCTTAGCTTAGCATCTGCTCGATCTTGGGCTGGGGCTGGGACTGGGGCCAGAGGCAACAACTCCGACTGCGGCTGCGTCTGCGGCTGGAACTGCTGCAACTTGTTGCGACTTGTTGTGGCTGCTGGCTGCTGGCTGCCCCACCGCACCGCAATGCGCCAGACAAGTTCAATGATTCTTTCAGCCGTGACTCAATCGCATTTGGCAACTCGCAAAAATTAGCTGCAAATGCTCAAATATTTCTGTCTGTTTCGCTGGCTACACTCGCTGCTAGTAAGCAGCAAGTGTGAAATGCACCTTGACATTTGAGTGTGTCTCTCCTCAACTACCTCATCAGTGCTCTGCCTTCCTTTCCACAAACGCAACTCGTATTGATTACCGATCGTTATGAATTTGTTTAGCCTGGCTGATGCTAATGTTGATGCTAATGCCTGGCAATACCTTTTGCAAATTATGCATCATTTTGCAATATTAATGTTCCCTCCTCCTACAAAAAAAAAAAAAAAAAAACAAATTTCGATTTATCAATCGTTTAGTAAGCGCTAAACTCTTTACTAACAGATAAAAGCCAAAAGTAGTATATATTAAGTCTTCGGGTTGAGCTGCTGTTATGCTATATTTGCTTGATCTATACTATATTTAACATTTGGCTAATTTTTAAATCATAGCAGCAGAGATAATCGCATTTGTATGCATATATGCTTTAAAGGCCAATATATAAAATTCCTTCTTAATTAGCTTTGTTCAAAATCTCTTTTAGATTTATCAGTTTAAAATATTTGTTTTTCTATAACAATTAACTTAATTGCTTGCTTCTGTTCTTTAATTTCAGTGATTAACAAGTCACATACCACACCAGCACACACGCACATACACACAGAGTGGGAGAGATCACACACAGGAGCGTCAAGAGTTTTTGTTCAGTATGATTCAACTGCAGACAAGACAAACGGCCAAATGATTCATCTGTCGCGCAAAGAAAGTGAAGATCATTAAGAAGTGGACAAGAACAAGAGACGAAATTAAAGCGACCAATTAAAGTGGAGCCTTAATCAGCTGCAGTCGACGTAGCCCAAGTGGATGTTACAGAACCGAAACAACGTCGGCATGGCACACTTTTGCTGGTATCATAAATTGGTCTTTTTGCTGCTGGTAAGTTGTGCGTTTGTAATTGGTTAAGGTCATTAAGGTATGAATAATTAATTAATGAGATAATTGAAGACTTTATTTGTGAGTGGGTTATTGAACTGCATCCTTATGAATCGGCTCATAAATCAGGGAACGCAACTGAATATGCAGATTATATTATAAGAAAGAAAGAATATTTGTATAATATTATGATATAAGTCGATTGACTTTACATTCGACATTTCTAGAATTACTATAGATTTTTCAATAAGTTTATATATATCGATAAGTTTAGAGGGCGGATTTCCGATACTCGCCAATACACCATCTGCAAAAGAAATCGTTAAATCATTTGCCGATTTGGTTAGAGTATTATGCAGTCGGTCATACTGATGGGTATTTGCTTTCTTTTGTCGATAGTTTTCCCTTTCAATCAACGCGATTGTGTTTCTTCGGTGTCATTTCTCGTATATTTTAAATTTTTTACAGTTTTTTCTCACATTGTCGGCTAACCAAATAGGTTAGTGGTAAAGCTCCACCTTAACATGGCTAACGAAACAAGATTATACACACCAATTCATTAAGGGTACATCCAGCTATATAGCCAGAGATCATTATACACATTAAGGCGAAGATATATGCGAGCCGTTGCTAGCTATCCAAGCCAACTAGTTTCACAGCCGCATATTTAAGCCAAGCGACGTCTACACGATTCTCGACATTGAACTTTAGAGATGGATGGATGATATGCGAGCTGTTGTCTGATTCTGGGGAATGATTTATTACGCATATGAGGCAGAAATTAATGCGGGAGCATATATGTACATATGCATATATAGGCACGCAAGCGATTCGAATTGGCCAACCCTTTGAGTTAACACGAATGAGTATTGGATGGATGCAGCTGGCTATTTGGCGTGGCTAACAGAGTCCCATTACAGCGTCTAATGGCTGCAGCATAAAATTGCAATTGCAATTGCAGTTGCCGTTGCAGTTGAAGTTGCAGTTGCAGTTGCACATGAGCTCAAATTGCTCACTTGGCCAATTGGTATAGAAATATATGGATTAATTGCTGGCTATAATGGTGTCTGCTTTCGCCTCGGCCCGCATTTATTGGCCCAAATCATCATCATCATCATCATAGTCATAGACGGCAATGCGAATGCATTTTTATTAGTATTAATTTGTGTTGGTTAATGCTAATGTCTGTTATGGCTGCAACAAACTGAATTGACTGCCCGCTGGCCACAGACACAGCTGATTGTGTGCGAATGCAAAGTAAAACTAAAGTAATGCTGGCTAAAAGCAACTTAACTACGGCATAAGCCAGGCAAAATAATTGCACGCGATTCGAGTGCGGCTATGCGAAACTGAAACTGAAAACTGAAAACTCAAATACTCAAAACAGAGAACTGAAAACTGAAAACTGAACTAAAACAGCAATTGGCGCAGTCGCTGCTGCCGTCGCTGCTGCAGTCGATGACGCTGGCAATTTGCAAATTATGCGCAGCGGGCAGGACGTTGATTGAGGATGCAGTGCGGGGCGTGGCGGGGTGTGCTGTGGTGCCACTGCTGTGGTGCAACAACATTCTAAAGCCCCAGCCTCAGCTTTTCTCTCATATAGAGCAGTACTTAGATGTGTGCGTGTGTGTAAGTGTGTGTATGGTCTGATATGCATATGACGATTAGCACAAAAATATATTGTATGTAGAATAGTGTAGCGCAAGCAGGAGTTTTTTTTTTTTTGTTTTTCATTTGTATTTGTTGTGCTGTATAATTAATAAATGTGTGTTATTATGACAGAAACGGAGACTGACTGAGCTGAGTGCTGACTGCGATTGGGCTTGGAGTTGGCATTGAGCGCCCTAATGCGGGGCCGAAGATCGATGTTGCGATTTAATGGCAAGTCATAAGATGCCTGGCTACAAGTGGCAAATGGCAACGGGCAACTGGCAACTGGCAGTAGGCAAGTGGCAAGTGGCAAGTTGCCAATTGCAACATATGAGCAGGCAGCGAGCAGCGGGCAGCGGGTGGTGGCTGCAATTAAACAATGGCCGCTTGGCAACAGAGTTCAGCTGACACATTCACATTGTGGCAACTGCTGCTGCTGGAGCTACTGCTGCTGCTCCTTTCAACGCCCACCACAAATGCCTCGGGCCACAATCGTTGCAGCCACACCACAATAAACGTATATGCGGACAGGCCAATTCTTGTTGCATGCTGCCCGTTTTTTGACCAGATGAATTTTGATAAAATACAAAAAAAAAAAAAGAAACATGCACCGAAAACTTTTCATTATTATAGCCTGGCGACTTTTTCCGCGTTTGCCGCTCTATGCAAATCTGCTAGACGCTCTGTGTGTGGCCAGTTCGTGTCTTGAGTCATTCGTTTGTGTTTTTATGCAACCGCATAACGGCTTTTGCGGCACGTCAATCAACCGGAGACGCCTAATTGATTAGCTGCTGCGCTGAGTGACTTTTAATGTGTGCACTTCCGAAATCTACATATTAAATCCAAGCATTAGCTGAAATACCAATCCAAAATTGAAATTGAAACTGAGGCTGAAACTGAAACTGAAGCTGAAACTGAAGCTGAAACTGAGCTAGAAACTTAAATTGAAAGTGAAACGCAATTGAAATTGACAACAACAACTTTTGAAGAAGGGGAGCAGCTGGGCAATAAAAGCCGAATCATAAAAGAACTTGTTCGCCAGATCTCATTTCAGTCTATTTGATTTGTTGCCGTCTCGTTGGATGATTGTGGCTAATTAAATTGGAAGGTTCTGAAGCGGCACTTGAAAGTCAATGGAGCTGCCGTGTGAGACGCTAGACTCAGACTGAGTGCGCTGAGTGCGCTCATTAAGCCGTGATTATTGCTTAATTGTTCGATGTCTAACAACAGTTCTATTGATTTGGCTAACGCGGATATCTCATTGAGTTTCACCGACAGCGTTTAGAATTTCAAAAGACCAATTTAAGCGCCCATTTCTGTGTAAACTCAACGTGGCGTTTGACACTTCCGCTAAGTTGACAGCCGTGAAAATTGTCAACGCTGTTGTGAAAGGTCCAACAATTGAATGATAAATGATAAACGATAAACGATAAACGCTAACTGGATCGCTAACTGCCACCTAAGTGCAAAAGAATGTCTAACAGGATTAACATTTTGCCAATGGTCAGAAAACTGAAATCACAAATCACAGCCCTGATAAATCAATCAAGATTAATGCCTAATAATTGCCTATCTATTTTTGGGCGCAAACGCAAACAACAACCTGAACGCATTTCATTCATTCATTCATTAAACTCACAGTGGCACTGACCAGTCGGTTCAAGTAACTCGCCACAATGAAAAGGAATGCCACAAGCACAAGCACAATCACAATCACAATCACAGTGCCACACAATAAGTTGTCGTTTAGTATATATTTAGAACGTTTCATGGTGTCCAATTGGCCAGGCGATGTACATACATACATGCATGTACGTGGGACACTGGTTTTTGCTCAGCTAACCTGAGCCCTTTTGGGCCCATTGTTCAGTGGCTGCTCGCATTGTTATTAACTTTCAGCGATTTGTGTGTCAATGTTAAATGCTCATTCACTGCCCGCAGCACAAGTACCACCAGCCGCAGCAGCAGCAGCCGCAGCAGCAGCAGCCGCAGCAGTTACTTCTGCAATTTTAGACATAAAAGGCAAGGCGAGCCGCCTCACTGGTGACTAACACACAACTACCAAACGGGTAACTGGCAACTGCCAACTTCCAACTACCAACTGGCAACTGGCCGGGCGCCCATTGGCTGCCTGCGCCTGTTTACACTGTAATTTTAGCACATGTGCGAAGGTGTTTTGCTTGCTCTAATGCTGCCTGCCAACAATTGTTAGATTGAATCGCTTAAATATGATCTAGAAATGTTTAGTTTTAAGCCACAACAACAACTACAACAGCAACAGCAACAGCAACAACGACAGGCGACTGTCGCCTAGCGCTGCTCGCCCACTCAATTTCATTTGTTGTTGTTTTTGTTGCACATCGCTGCGCTGTCAAGCTATTTGCATTTATGCTCAAAAAGCTGCCGGATGTTGTTGTTGCTGCCTATTTACTATGTATATATAATTATATATATATAAATACGTACATATATATATATAAATATCTATCTATAAAGTTATATAATAATTATGTTATTATTTTATTTTATTTATAAACTGTTTTGCATGCAACAAAAAAAAAAAAAAAAAAAAAACAAAATTTATTGTATTTTTTCTTTTGTGTTTTCAATTTACGCCTTTCCAATCGCATTTAATTTTATGACCTAGCCGTTTTTTATGTGCTTTATCTCGATTACAATTAGTTATGCTGATTTCGCCAAATGCAATAAATACGCTTTGCACTGTTGACGTCTGTTGCAGGGCAAGTTCGTGTCCTAAGTCTTTTGTTTTTGTGAGGCGTTAAACGTCTGTGAGAGGGCGGCATTTGGAGCTGCATTCATTTGATTTATGCCTGGCTCAAGCACATGATATGCACTAGACGAGTTCATTGAAAGCAAATCATATTTTATGAGTAAGCGGAAGGTCAAAGCTAAATTGTTAGTAATCGCTAATGGTTTTGACCCAATAATAATAATAATAATAATAATAATAGCAACAAAGCTGAACAAATCTTGTTTTCATGTTAATATCCTTAACGAGTCATGCTAATATCCAGCTGTTAACCTGACCTTTATGTTTGGGATTTCCCAAAGATTCACTGCTGTCTAGGTAACGAAATTTGATTCTCAAGCTGTGTCATAATTCGCTGATATTTGACTCTTATATTGTCTCGTTCAGATATTCGCTGAATTCATCGAGCTATGAGCGTTTTGATATGTATTAGCTTAATGAAAGTTAAGTCGTTTAGCTAAAGACTTTTAAATGGGATTCATATATTATATTATATCATAATCAAATCGATAATCTCATAAGTAATGCTTCGAGCCGAGCTGCAGTAAATTCAAAGATATCGACTCTTGATATGATCTACACAGATTGCAGAGCGATAGCTGAATCGATTGTAATTCATTTCCATATAGTCTTCATTAGCTGCCAATTGCACCCACCTCAGCATGCCACATGTCAGTTAATTATGACACCGTCCAGCTGTTTACAAGCCCCACAAGCCAGAGGCACTTCAAACGCTGCCGCAGCAGCGCATTCCACTGATGTCTTAATAAACCCAATACATTATTATTCAAATGTCATACGTAGCTGGCAAGAAGACATTCGCGGCACACATAAGTGTCTGTCCCTCTCTCAATCTGTGGATCAAATGATGTTTTAATTGCGCAAATTTATAAATAGATCGCTGAGATAAGCTAGGTAGGGTAAATGCATCATGCGCCACTTGATTAGCATAAAAATCGCATTGAAGCGAAATGTGAAGCAATTGACACGAACATAACTAAATCATTTCCATTTCAACTTGCAGATGTTGTGCTGCGGCTATGCGCGACCAGCCCCAGCCCCAGCCCCAGCACCGGTCCCTGCCCCCGCCCCTGTTGCTTCACCCGTATCAGCGGGCAGGCAGAGTGAGCTCATTGCGGGCAATGAGTTTCTCAAGTTGTTCCTCGATCACGACGAACAGCAGCGCAGCCTGCACAGCGATGAGGAGCTCGAGGGACCAGCTGCCGGCCGCCTGAACAGTGCCAGAAGCTTGGAGCACAAGACGCGCTACCGCAATGCCAATGCCCAGCACCAAGCGGATGCGGAGGGCAAGCAGGTCGTCAAGCTGGTGACCACCGGCAGCAAGATTGTCTTTCTGGAGGATGCACCCGGCTCGTCGTCAACCACTAAGCCGAAGTCCAGCGACGAGGTCAAGGTGGTCGCTGTCAGTGTTAGCTCCTCCAGCAAACGTGGCAACCGCATCAGCCGCACCCAGCCGCCCGCCTTCAAGCCCGCCGCGACGCACTCGCACCGAAGCAGTGCGCCAAGTGCAGCTGGCGTTGATTTTGTCAATCGCTCGCACAAGAGTGAACTGTCCATTGAGGAGACTGAGCCACGCCTCGCTGCCGATGTCATGGATGCGGAAAGCGACTCGGTGAACAGTGCCTCCAATATACAAAACGTTTTGGCGGCGCCATTGCTGGCGGCAGCCGCCTCCAGCCGCTCCAGTTCGGTGGCGTTTCGTGGCAGCTCTGTCCCCGGGCGAAATGCCACGCGCATAAATCAGAGAGCGAACGATCCGGAGTCGGCGTCAGAGGCGAATACTCATGAGTCGGTGGGTGATGACAAATTGCTGCCGTTCCAGACGGTGATCTATCACGACACAAAGCAGGGTCACGGACCCCAGTCAAGATCAATATCATACAGCTCCATATCGCAGAACGTGGACGATCTGCATGTGCCGGGCAGCTGGCACCAGTCGGCTGGCATCTTGGCCGAGGCGCAGCGCAACGTGAGCGACAGTCTCAAGCCCATGCCACGTCTCGCCTCCGAGCCATCCAAATTCTATTCTGTGCCATCGAAAATGTACAGTGTTCCATCCAAGTTCTACTCGGAGCCAGCCAAGGTCTACTCAGAGCCAGCCAAGATGTATGGCCAGCCAGAAAAAGTATATTCGGAGCCGGCCAAAGTGTATGGCCAACCGTCCAAGTTTTACTCAGAGCCAGCGAAAGTTTACTCGCAGCCAGCTAAGGTTTATGGAGAGCCCGCCAAGACCTACTGGCCGCAAACTGTAACAACTGGGACGGGTACCGGTACCGGTACCGGTACGGGTACGGGTGCTGGTGTAGGTGTCGGCGTCGGTGTCGGTGTCGGTGTCGGAGTTGGTCTCAGCACGACTAGCTCGCCCACCACAACAAGATCGTCAACATCAACAACGGGAGCAACGACAACAACAGCAGCGCCAGGGCCAGCAACTGTGCCACCGGGCGCTCTGGCTCCCACCACCTTTGTGCCCTCGCGTCGGCCAGCAATTGTCTCGCGGATTGCATTCGGCGAGGCGCAAACAACGACAACAACAACAACAAGCAGATCCATGGAATCCCAGACTGCAACGAGCAGCACGCTGCCCACCGCTAGGCCAAGCACTTGGCAGCACCATTATCACAATGGTCACAATCAGCATCTGCACCACAATCACCACCACCACCACAACCACCAGACTGCAACGAGTGCGGGCAATTCGCAGCCGCGTCGTGTACTCTTCAATTTGGATAAATTACCTTATGATTTATTGAATGCACCGCAACCGCAGCCAGCGCGCCATCTATTGGAGCCAATTTTATCAAAGAGTTCAATTCCAAGCGACTACCAGCAACAGCAGCAGCAGCAGCAGCAGCAACATCATCGTCCATGTTGGGAGCAACAGCAACGTCAGCATCCATCACTGTCGCTTCAACATTCTAATCAAAATGCCAAAGGATTGCCCAATAGAGGTGAGTCTTTGCCCAAAACAAATTACACTGTGCTGCAGGTTTAGCATTGTCGGGTAGCAACTATTTAGTTGGGCGTTGCGTTAGCTCGCTGCATGCTGGCATAATTTATGAATCTACAATTAGTCTAACGATCAGATTCGATTGGAGCTTAACCCCAAACGGCACTCTGCAGCACAGTGTAATTATGAGAGACCAACGCACGTTTAACTAATCTTGAACTTATTCTCTCTCTCTCTCTATCTCTCTCTCTCTCTCTCTCTCTCTTTGTTTTGCTCTCTCTCTGCTAGCAGATCTAGTCAAGTGTGTTTCCAAATTTGCACACCAGCATGCATCGCCCGCAGCAGCGTCCGGCATTAGCGCCTATTCATATAGTTCCAGCTCTAGCAGCTCATCATCCTCGTCCTCCGCGTCCGCTGCGCCAACTGACGATGAGACCATGTTGCCACACTTTACAACCGAACGCGCCGAGCTCTACACACCGACCCCAGAGCAAAATTACGAAATTGAAGAGTCCGTAAGTGTTATGACAAACGGACGAGCCCACGGACTGCAGGGTGGCAGCAGCAGTAGTGGAGGTGGCAGCGGCAGCGGCAGCGGCGCACTGGTCACAGCCACAACACCAGCCAGTCCAGTGAGCACAACACCAGCATCACCCATTGCTGCCGCCACAACACCAACAACAACGCAACACGGCCGCAATCGTGGCCGTGATAGGGGACGTGGTTCGGTGGTGTACACCGCCAACGCAAATGCCAACGACTATGATGGCGGCGGGGATGAAGATGCTGAGGGCAGGGGCAACGCAGATGAGTCGGATGAAGATAAAGTCGCCTATGTAGTGGAGGGACGCAACTATCGCAAATATCGCGTCGAAGAGAAAACCGACGACGGCTTCATCGTTGGCGAATATGGCGTCGTGGACCACAACGATGGCAACCTGAGCGGCGTGCGTTATACCGCCGACTCGACCATTGATCGTCGTTTGATACAAAAGGCGTTGTTGACATTTCTGAAGCTCAAGTAGTTGCAGTTGCAGTTGCAGTTGCAGTCACAGTCACAGCTGTACTCTGGCCGAGCTGACCGAGCTGACCCAACTGCCCCAGCTGCTGCCTCAGCTGCCACAGCTGCAGCGGCAATTCATTTCATACACATGTGATCCAAGTCGTATTGTAGTTAGCGTAGCTTAAATTAATATTAACTAGCCTTCATTCATACAATCACAATGACACCAGCTGAAAGTCGCAATCGAACAATCAACTGATTTTTGTCGGTTCAGTTGCTTGGAGTGAAAGGAATATGCCACTTGATTCGCAAGCATTCAGATAATTTAATATCTAGTTACTAGTTGAACATTGATAAGTCTGCATCAAATACTCAAAAGCTTTAATGTACTTTTTCAACAGCTTTCATAAACTTTTACTCGTGCGCCAGCGCCCCTATTTGTCAATTCGAATTGCTAGAAAATTATACATTTTATTTGAAAGCATCAATCAGTTTTTGCTCGTTTAATCTAATCTAATTGAATAACATTTTCATCTGGTGTCATTGCGTCTTAAGTATTCATAGTTAGATTGTCAACCCACGGCCACAACTCTCTGTCCTACTTTATCCTACATTCCCCCACAGCAAGTGTGCGTGTATTTTGAGCTCTGTGTGTGCGTGTATGTGTGTCTGTGTGTGTGTGTATGTGTGTTACTCAATTTTATAAATATGTAGCTAATGTTTTAATTAATTTATTGTAGTTGTTGGTATTATAATTTAATATAAACTTATTTAAACTCTACACTTAAATGGAAACAATCGCAAAATTTTACCTAGCAACTTGCCATAATTTAATTCATATAACCAACTTGGCCAAGTTCCAATGATTTGGGCCAATAGCACGTACGCACTTAAATGCATAAACTATCCTAACTAGAGCCTAAGTAACTTACAATGTGAAAGATTACACAAAAAGTATATATGTACATGTACACATAAAACTAAAAATAAATGAAGTACATCAATAAAGAACACTAAACTGAAGTATATGGTCGCTATAATTAATGAGCGCCCCACAGGGGGTTGCTGCAGCACAAAGGGGCAAACTGGTCCACGAAATGTAAATAGCCATTAAAAATTGATTAAAAACATGCGGCCAACGGCGATCGGCAACCGACACTCGCGACATTATCATTAAACTTTAATTGATATGAGCAAGTGACAAAGGGATGATGCTTCATTCCAACAACAACAACAACAACAACAACAACAGCAACAAGATGAACAATCATACAATGGGGACAACGAATTGCGGAAACAGCTAAGGATAAAAGAGCTGAGCATCAGGGGCTCTGACTTTTATAGATGCATTTGGTCAATTAAGAGCCAGTGCTCTAGCCAGTGCCTGAGCCAGTGCGAGTGCCAGAGACAGAGCTCGTTAACAGATCTGTTACAATACAAAAAGCGTAGCAAGTGAGCGGAGCGGATAATGCTGATCATGATGAAGACGGCCGGCGGCGGGCAAGGGGCAATGCGCAACGGGCCCCATAAATGCAGAACAGGACCTAAAACCAGCATCTGGACCTGTGAGCTGTAAATGCCAGCTGAAGGTCGCTGAACGGCCTTGCTTGCGGTCGGCCGGGCATGTTTGGCGTCTGCGTGTCGTCATTTGGTTTTTATTGCCTCTGAGGGATTGGGAATTGCAAACGGCGAATGCTTGGCCTAAAATAAAAATATTCCACTGATTGCATGCGCCAAGTCGTAGCTATTTATAAATATAGAGCCAGAAGAGCCGCAAGAAGACGACGAAGAAGAAGAAGACAAACGGAGATTGTAGAGCTTTGGTATGTCATCTTATCGCTGGCTAGCAATCAGGGGGCCATCCGTTGCCCGATGCCCGATGGCCCAGCATCGTCGACGCAATCTGTGTGAAACACTATGCACGCTGTGCCCATAAACTTGGCGAAAAGAGAATGTGCCGCACAGATTTTGTTGTAAATGCGAAGAATGCCTAAGATACAGGGGGAGAGAGAGAGAGAGAGAGAGAGGGGCAGACCGACCGGAGTAGGACTGGTGTAAATGTTAAGATGATGCTGTGCCGTGCCCTCTGCGGTCAGCTGCCTGATGGACAGCTAAGGGAACGGGTTATAGCCCCCTTATACATATTCTCCCATATATACCGTTGCAGCCACAATCTGAACTGTATGCAACTATGGCAATTACTCCCCAGCTGCCCCGCGCTGCTCCTGCTCCTGCCTGGCATGCAGAGTAAACAGTTCTGCTGCGAAAATAATTTACAATGCAACGGCCACAGAACAGTGCCTGCAAAGTGTCTGTGCCATGATGAACGCTAAGCGGGCACGTTTGCTTCGGGGCTCATGCTGGGGATATCTGTGCGGAATCTGTGTTTGGGGGCGTGCTACAGTGCGTGTCGGCCATAAATCTGAAAGCTACACGTTTCTACCTGACTCTGCCAGCTCTGACAGGTTGAATGACGCTAGCAGCACGCCCGCACGTCCTTTTTAGTTGCTTTTTAATGTGGTGGGCGTGGCGCGTGGATTGCCTCTCTGACAGCTCTGTGGCCAGTGCTTGGCTTCATTAAATTGACTTCAGGCTTAGCTTCACCTGCATTCAGCTGTTGCCTTAAGCTTCAGTCGCTGCATTTGCAATTTTGGTTAGCTCGATCCGGAACAAGTGTCCTGCTCGATATGCAGTTAATTGCAACTGCAACTGCAACTAAAACGTTGCAGCTTTTGTGCGCCCCTTTGTTCTGTGCCACATTCATTTTTCATAATTTACGAGCACTTTTATTCAATATTCCAGTCGTTGCCATGATCGATCGGGCTTTGGAAATTTACGACATGACATTATAATTGGCCGATTTGTCATTATAATTAGTGAACACGCTCTGCACGCATGCTGGCTGGCTTGTTGGCTTGTTGGTTAAATGGCTAGCAGGCTAGCTGGACAGTTGGCCTAGGTGACTTGCTTGTGCATGTAGGAGCTCTAAAGGGATTCATTAATTTATGCATAAGATAAACGACTATTTTTAGAAAGGACTCGATGCAAATGTTAAAATTTGTTTTTGCTTCGTTTATACAAAAAGTAATTTTTATGCTTATGAAACAGTCTATTGGGCGCCTTAAACTGGTTACAGTAAATACTCTGGAAGAGTTTAATATGTGCATAAAATGTAATCAAAGTGATTCTAAAGCATATTTATTATTCACTTTAGATATGTATAGAGAATTGATTGCATTGGCTTGCCTTTACACGCTACCGGTTCGATGGTATGGCGCCATCTATGGATAGTTGGCTCTGTTTCAGATTCTTAAATGAACAGCTCGAAAGTATGCAATGATTTTGTAAGGCTTCTTATTTACCAGTGAATGTAAAACTAGTAGTGGATGGATAGCTGCTTTTATTTATTTATTTAATTTAATTTTTTCCAATTTTTCTTAGACATTTTTTTTTTTTAAATTACCACATTTTAAATAATTAATAAATACTTAAAATTTATATATTTTTAATTAAATATATATTATGATTTACATATTTTATAGCATTCAAAACAACCTAGCTCTTTAAATATTAATAATAAGGAAGACTTCTTAGCTCTTGTCAGACTAGATGGCACCGCATAATCCCGGTTAAATTTGGAATCGCATTAGGTGCTCCGAAACACCTCTTCACATTTCAGAGAAAACTGCATTCGTAGAGGCAACAATTCGTACCGGAAATACGAACTAAAATTACCAAAAGTCATGAATCAGGCAAAAAGTTAATTCAAGAAGAAAAAATGAAGAAATTATAAATACCTCAAGCTATAACACGGGCCACATGTGCAAGCAAACAAACAAACAAAAAGAATGCAAATCATTGCAGGTCCTCAAAACTGGAGAGTGCAACTGCAGGCGATGCCTTGTGAGTTCATGTATATGGAGCATAACTAATTGTGCGCACAGCAATTAGCAGGAAATTTATTTAAGACTCAACACTTTACTAATCTGCAAGTGTCAAGCGGTGGAAGCCTGCCGCCAGGACAACGAGCAACCGCACCACACAATCATAATGATGATGGCAAGGGAGTTGACGTAGGCAGATCGTCAGACTGTCTGACTGGTTGGCTGGCTGGCTGGCCTGAATGTCAGGGTTGAAGTGTGCGTTCCGAGTAAAAAGACGCAGCACCAGCATAGAGCATACGGCTGGAATCAGAATTCGCTCGAACTGCAAGGGGTTGACTCAGACAGGGGATAGGGGCAAGCAGACAGGAGCAAGAAGCAGGGACCTGGCTGCCGGTTGCCGGTTGCTGGTCGGTGCGATGACAACAGGTCCTTCTTGGTCTTTCAACGGGCATTGGCTCAACAATGTGTACTCCTTGAGCAATGCCTTTGTGTGCTACCTTTTCGCATAATGAAATATAAGTACTGCCATAAGACGTTTGATATCAAAGGACATTCGATCGGGCATGCAACATGCGCTCATTGTCTACGCTGTTGTCTGTTGGCTGTTGGTTGTTGGTTGTTGTTGTCATTTTGTTAAGCGTTTTTTTCGTACTAATGCCAAAGATTACATGTTGATCTCGCATATCTTTCATCTTGACGGTAGATGGAGCTGGGTCGTGCGTGCTTCCCACGTCGCTGACATTCGATACGAGCCGAAAACTGAATTCGAAATCAAAATGCCGTCAGTCAGTTGCGCGGCGAAAGTCATGACAATGCATTAATTAGAATCGCTCTAAAAAAAAAAAAAAAACGAAGATGAACGCACAAATAAAATATTAATTCATAGAGCGTTCCATATTGGGATTGATAAACAGATCTTAGCTGAAATCTAGATAATGCTGTTGACAAGTTTAGCATCGCTTCTTTGGTAGTCAATTGTACCCACGCATGATCGAAAATTGCAGATAAGACATGCCCAAGACCCGTTCCATTCATCAGGCAGTTAGCGCTCTTGATGAGGGTTCATTTCATAATTGAAACAAAAAACATATTGCGCATGCACTCTCCAATTTCAGATCCATGCCAGATTGATCGCAGCTCCATTCACTTGTTCGATTCAGGAAAAGGCCCATAGAAATTGAAATGTCTAGCGAAAACCCTTTTTTTGGCCAGCCTGTAAGCCTCTATCCTTTCACTGTATAAGCATGCTGAAAAGAACATTTCGTGGAAGTTAATTCGAATATTTTCGCTATTTATTCAACTATCTAACTATTCTGTGCGTCTTTTTGTTGAAAATCCTAGAATATCTCCCGCATGATTGCTCCGATCGATTGAATCACTTGTCGAGCGCCCCCATTTCTTCCTTGTTTGTTATTTTATGCTCTCTGCCTTTTGGGGGCTACTCGAGTGTGGAATCAATTGTTATATTATGTAGGCAGTTAGCGCATCAGGTGCCGTCGTATTATTGTGCAGGATAATATGTCTTGAATTGCTTTCGTTTTGTATTCAATTTCAATCAGCCATGTATCCCTAAGTGGAAGCTCACATTGGCCCTAGCATTGGCATTGGCATTGGCTCTCCCACGGCCAAATTAATTGCTTTGATGATGAGTAACACAAGATATCTGAGGGTAAGGTTAAGGTTAATGATCTCCAATGTGAGACCATTGAACTCTATTACTGCGATATACGACTGTTTTTTATACTCATTCACGAAAGTGAATCAGTATATTGGTTTTGTGCAATGTCCGTCTTGCTGTCCGTCCGTCTGTCCGTCTGTCCGTCCGTCCGTCCGTCCGTCTGTCCGTCTGTCCGTCTGTCCGTATGAACGCAATCTATTTCGGCGCTATTGAAGCTAGAGACTTGAAATTTGGAACACATACTCGTGTATATCTCCGATTTATAAAGTGTTAAAATTTTCCCGATCCGCCCATTAGGGGCGTGGCAAATCGGAAAATGCATTTTCCGATATACCAGAAATCATGTTAGTTAAAAAGCTAGAAAGCTGAAATTTGGTATGTAGGTCGGCGTTGACCACCCAAGATCACGAGCTATGGCGGATATATCTACGCCCATTGGGGGCGTGGCAAA